AGAAGAAGATAGTATAGACTAGATTAGATTAATAGGAATGCCTATACTTTTGATTATCCCTTTATCTGTTACCAATTCTATAAGAATATCAGCGAGTGTGAACTCAAACTGGTTCCTTATTTAGTTTACCCTAAAAGAGTCAAACGAATTTTGGTAACAAGGCAATAATCATGTCAACTTGAAACTTACCACCCAAGTCAGCCTTATTAGCCTCCAGTTAAATTTTTAAATAAATAATAAACAATCATTTTCAAAATACGATCTTTTACTGGAGTTCCTTAGACTATCTCGATGGTAATCAAGTCTGACACAGTATTAAGGCATAAACTCTATCTAATCTCACCAAAACATTTCATTGATGATGCTTGAAGAAAAAAAAATAATGCAAATGTTATATTTGAAGCGTATTCGAGATAAACTCTAAAATATTGCACCAAATCCTATCATTTGCCTTATTTTACTTATTAAAAGCATTAATGTTCTCTTGAGTATCTTAAAGTAAAAGGATTAAGTTTAGGAGTAGTAAATATATTTTGTACCACTACGTTTGTGAATAAAATATTTAAGTTTCTTTTCCAGTCAATATAAATGAAGTCCAATTACATTAAATATGATAGCAAGCGGATTAAATAGATTAGACATAAATAATCTGAATATAAATGTAATCATACAATATGTAAAGTGAATTATTAATACCATCATGCATATTTAAAATTAAAATGAGTTTGTTAACCACATAATATAATAAATCTCAAATAGAATAAGAGAACATTATCATTATAGGTGAACAATCCTTTTTAATTAATGCGGGTCCCTCAACTTCATAGCATAATAAATCATACAATCAATACGTCAATAACTTATCCTAATGGAGGAGTTCATTATTACTATTGTTGTGATTCATTTGTTATTAGGTAAGCACTTCCATTAAAATAATAATATGTGGGTCCCTTAACTACTGCATGAAAAATCGGATAACTAACACGCCAATAACTTATTCGGTTGGCAAAGTTCATTATTGCTATTGGCGGGCAAATCCCATCATTTCCATATCTCTTAAGACAATGCCTTGTTTATCATATGAAATGATTCCCAATTTTGTTTAGCCTTTCTAAAATCACCTATTGTAGATCACTCCGTTGGGGAGCTAATACTATTAATTTTAGATTGAGTGTATAACGTTATTAAAGATCTAATGAAAAATAAAATATTAAATATCTTGTCATTATAATCTAGACTCTTTAAATCATGTGTAGGGCCTTATCTTTAAAAATCTAATTACAATGAACATTTAATTTTTATTTTCATGAAACAACCATTCTTGTAATATTAAGACTCTTCAAATCATACGTGCGGCATTATTTTTGAAGATCTAATTACAATGGTTATAATAACGAAGGCCATGGGGTAATGTATAAAAATTCCCGCTCCCACTCAATTTTTTAATCATTCTTGATTAGGGTTTTCAGTTTATTCATTTACATGATACAATGCATACAAAACGCCTTGATTTTAATCCAATTAAATTTAAAACATAACTGGACTTTTAAATGATTCACTAATATTTAATTTGAAGCACACTTTAAAAATAATTTACAAAAAAAAAAATAATTTTTCGTTTCCCAATAAGTACCCTCAAATTATTTAGTAATCAAATCCAATTAATTTTCATAATTTAATTAATATAAATCAAGTCATTTAATTAAATATCATGGATCCAATGCATGAACAATAATTAATTAACAATTATCTAATTCCATGCATCACATAAATAAATAAATGACAGATAAAACAAATAAAAATGGCTAATGGATTTAGCTTTTAACATTTAATTGCTCTAAGTATTGCGCGAGGGTCCTCCATCCACTTGTAAACACTCGTAGGAGGCAAGAACGCGCTTGGAGAAGTAAAACGGTGTTTACGACCCGCCCGTATGGTCTTACACACGCTTGGATGCGCCTCTGGTGGTCTCCAGCGCGTGCCACGCGCTCCCACACTCCTGCACTCGCTGGGAGGATGCTGAAGTGCGTGCCATGCGCCATGCGCGTGTGGGAATTGCCAGCGCTTTCCACACGCTGGCACTCGCCATGTGGCGTTGACCTGGTCTCCGGCATGTGCTGTCACGCGCCACAGGATGGGGTCGCATCAATGCGCACTGTAGGCGCGCTTCTACCTGATTTATTTCTCCTGATCCTATAGCCAATGATCCAGGTGCACCACATATGGGTGCACCGCATGTGGGTGCACCGCGCCGCACTGGATCGGTCGGCCATCTCCGGTCACTGTTCTCGCCACCGGCGGCTCTCCAGTCGCCGGAAAAATGCCGAAAATTCCAGAAAATATAAATTAAGCCCAAAAAATTTCAGAAAAATTCTGAAAAAATTTCAGAAAATTCCTGAAACCTAATTTAACCCTTTTGGACTTTCTTGAAGCTTCATAGCATCCTTTGATGAAGATTACATGGTTTTAATTAAATTTACAATTTAAAATACAATGGAAAAAATTAAATTACATCATTGAACTTTAAAACAGCTAAATCAAAGCTTTAATTACATTCATCCAAAGAAAAAATTACATTCAATTATCCTATAAGCTTCATTCATGACCCAAACACATATTATCATCTATTCACAATTATATATACATCATCATGTATCAATATATTAATTCATACATCAACATCCATTAATAAATAAATATATACATATCAAAATTGGATCCATAAATGATGAATTTTGATAAAAACATGATCTCTAGTAATGAATCAAACCATACCCTGACACCACTGTTAGGAAATGTGTAAGTTTTAAAAACTTTTCGAGTGATTTTGATTCATAGATCTTGATTCGTCACATACAGACAAGTTTTATGCAGAAATCAAATATGATGTATAATTCAATTAATAAATTGAATACTTATATCAAAGGTATGAGTAAACCTTTAAATCTTTCCTCTAAAGTGAATGTTCTCACTTATTGTAGATTCTTTAGCAAGATGCCATCTCCTTAGATCTCCATATTTTTGGTAATTGTTTTGCCTTTAGGAATCACCCATAAGCCTCCATGAATGACCTTCGAAAACTAGGCTTGTGAGAGCCTCCATTAGATGAGAACATTAACCCTAATTTTCTAGAGAGAAAAAAATATATTTCTTTTTCCTTCTTCCAAAAATCACCCCTAAAATATACATAGATCATGTATATATATAGGTAACATAAAGATAAAGAAAATGAAATAATAAATTATTCTCAATCTCTAATTCACATGTTTCAAATCTAATAAGATTCCAATATCAAGTTGGGCTATGAGTGAGAATCTTTTGGGCTTATTATTTTATTAGCTACAATGAATTAATAATTGGCCCAGTCCATGGACCCAATTCATAAATTAATTTCTACTCCACTAAAAGAAATTAATTAAACTCCAATTAAATAATAAATAGACTCTAAGTCAATGTTGCACTTTGACCCGTCTATGCATAATTAGTTATCGGATAAATAAAGCAATCAATCTGACTACTTAATTAATATATTTATTTTGATACCTTTGATTATTTCCGGCTTGATCACAATAAAAGATTTGTTTGACAAAAATAATAATTTAAATAAATAAATATATTATAAATCATTTTGTCTAAAAATACACGAAGGCCTTTGAATTTACTTTGTGATCAATCATAATCAAAACAAAATAAATACAAGTAACAACGATGAAAATATCGAAAATATAACCCTCTAACTATTAATTATATAACTACTCAAAGTGTCGGTCTAAAGATCCCGAAGTATCCGCCAAACAAATCAAAGTAATTATTAATTAATAAAAAGTTTATACTTTTCTCATGCTTAAGAGTCAAATGCCATGACAGTGATAGGGAGTAATTGCATGCGACGGCTCTCGCAATATATCGTAACCTAACGTGGATCCAGTTCAAGTCTTAATTAATTATGAGTCCATCCATAATTATTGACTATGAACAATTTATGATTACTATTTATATTCATGTATTGATCGCCATCACATACATATATAAATATCTCTTGTAATTAAGTGGATACTATCAATTCTATAACGAATCGAAATATAATACATTGAATTCACTAATTGTATAAAGCATAAATATTTCAGAAACATCAGGAACATATGTTACTGTAATCTAAATAAAAATTTGCTATGCCAGGGCATATAAATCCCAACATCTACTTCAGAGTTCAGATCACAAAGGAGTAAAAATTTACAAATGAAATTAATAAAATTGATATTTGTCCACTATTTTCTTTTATATATGTATATATTTTAAGACGGAATTGAGTGGTAATGAGGTCGCTTGGTCCAACTCGCAACCTACCAATTTAGAAGCAGAAGTTTAATGTAAGATGGGCTTCAATAGTCTGAAATTTGGGCTGGGCATACAATTGCAGGCTTTAAGCTACAACTACATCCGGAACAAGAATTTTGGCCCGACTTTGATATTGTATTCAATTAATTAAAAAATGAGTATGTGTGCATTTTCACTCACGGTAAAAATATATAATAATAATAATAATAATAAAAGTTTTAAAAAGTATTGTAAATTCTGAGAAAAGAAAATAAAGAGTAATTTGAAGTTAATAAAAAGGCCCAAACCCAGCCAATTACAAGATGCCACAAGCACAATTTAGACAAGAATTTCTTTGATCCATGTTTAAAAGGTTTGGCTACCCTGGTGGACCAACCTTAATTCGTGGGCTAAACTAAAACTTGCACGCCTCAAAGCGTAAACAGATTCATCACGCATCCAAACGGGGCCTTAGATTAGAATTGAAATTTAGGTGAATAAATACCTTTCATGAACGTACAAGCTACTCCTTCATTCACTCACCCTCACACTTAAGGGACCAACTCCTTTTGACTTGCGTTACTCCTAAAAAGAGACAACACCCAGCAGTCACAGCCGCTAAACTCACAGCCTGTCAGCTTCGCAAAACCCCTCCCTTATTTTAGTTTTTGTGAAACTAAAGCACAACAAAATTTACATCATGATTATCAATGAACCCCACTCATCATCAAATTTGTTACTTTTCCACATAATGGATGGCTCTGATTCAATTGTGTGTGTGTTTTTTCAAAAACTAGTATGTTTTTGGCATTGTATCATTTCCCCATGAATGAAATTGACATGCATATATATTTATAGCCAGTGACTACAAAAGCAAAGATCAAGTGACATATATAGAGATTTTCTTTTAAAAGTTTTATATATATGTAGATAACAACACTAGAACTCTAAATCAAGTTTGCTGTATGCTTTGAGTAATAGTTTGGGAGTAGTGAGCTTTCCTTCAGCTGCTGTTCCTTCCCTTGTCCTTTAATTTGGATAGAGAAAGTGTGTGTGTGTGTGTGTGTGAGGGGGGAGAGAGAGAGAGAGAGAGATGGAAAAGATGTTAGGGCTGAGCCACCTCTTCATGACATTCTTCCTCCACAGCTTCGCCGCATTAATGGTGATTCCGGCGATAACCGACGTGACGATGTCAGCTCTTTGTCCCGGACAAGATGAGTGTTCACTAGCCATATACCTCACCGGAATTCAACATGCGGTATGTACCATTATTCTATAACCATTCTTTACACTTTTTCTTTTTTCTTTTTTGTGTTTCTCTAATTATTGTGTTTGGAATATGAGGAAAAGAAAAAGGAAAAGAACTGAGTTGGGTTTCAAAGAAATATAAATTAATTCCATGTTTGGAATAAACTGAAATTTAAGTTATGAATATATTATGTATGTGTGTGTGAGAGAGAGAATTACTCTTCTACTTGCCGGATAAGTTTAATAAACTAGTAACTTTAATATTTTTAAATCCCATAAAATTTGACAATAATTTTCAATTTTCATATGATTTCAGTGTAGTACATGCAAATTTCTCTTCTAACACAATTTGTTTGTGTGAGAGATTGAAGTGAAGGTTGCATTTGAAATTAAGCACAATGACATGTTCTCAAATTAATCGAGACATTATATATATATATATATATATATATATATATATATATATATATATATATATCCTACTAATTAATTGTGTCATCAAATGACAACAGTTCAATTAATTGTCTTATATACCACAGCCAATTTATACATTATTTTCCTAATTTTCATGAATATTTTGAAGTACTACTAAAGCAACCAAGCCTGCCGAAAGTCCCCACTCACTTTATTAGTCAATATGCATTTAGATGACACATCTTCTATTAAATGTTTTGCTATGGATTATGACACATTTTTCTTCTTGTTTAAGTCTTAACGTGCATTGCTTATCTCACAAGCAAGTTCATATCGGGATTAATTTTATCCAAAGTACCATCAACTAAGAATATTTCTGTGCAATAACCGACCAGACCATAACACTTATACATTCACATCGATATTTCTGTTATCAAGTTTAGTATTTTTTTTCTTCTTATAATAACAAGAATAATGATTTAATGATCGGAGTTAATTTATGTGAGCGTGGCGATAGATCTTACTATATAACGTTATGTGATGAACTCACCACTCTTCTCACATAAATTAAATTCAATAACTACGAAATTCAGTCCCTTTATGATTACTCTTATTTTAAATGCATTTTTAAAGGAAAACACGTGAAAAAAACATTTGTTAATACACATATATAGTTATCTAAATTAATTACCATATTAGTAGTATTAAGAATTGTCATACTGCATTCACGCGAAGATATATGCTCTCTCTCTCTCTCTCTCCCACACACACACACACACACACACTAAAACACACAAACACAGGACAAACTATGGGAGTTGCATTGAATCACACCAAATCATCCTTTCAGTTGGGAAATTTCCTTCTTGTGTGTTTTTTGGGGGTAAAATGTAAGGAAATTTCCTTCAGTACGTACATCAAATGCCTTTTTTTTGGGTCCTTGGCTCTTTTGTTTTATTTATATGGAATAAAGATACATGTCTAAAGATATTCTAGTGTTTGCCACGTGGCTTGTTCCTGTTGGATACCATGTTGCTTTTTCTACCACCTATTTTAGAACCCTACCCATCGCCACATTACGTTTAGTGACATGGACATCTCATAAGTAGGGTAATAAGTTCCAACCGTTCCTAGGAAGAAAAAATTTTTAAAAATAAAAAATAAAAAATTATTTGAAAAAAAGAAAATAAAAATAATAATAATAATAACATGTTGAGTTTGTTCCGTTTAATTTATTTGTTTTAAAAATTGAAAAATAAAAGACTTGTTAAAAGTTGTTGTTGGTAAAACTTAATTTGAAAAGTGTTATATAAAAACAGAATTAAAGAATATATAGTTGATTTTTTATATATATAAAAAAAAAAAAAAAAAAAAAAACTATTATTTTTAAACTTCTAGAGACTCTTTGAACAGTTTTTATATAAATCAAAGAGAATCTTAAATTTTGTTTTATAATTTTGTCCATCAAGATTTGTAATGATAAGTCTGATTCCCCAAGTAATCAAACAAAAGAAAAAGGAAATCGAAAAGGAAAAGTGTACTGTCTCATTATATATGCAAATTGTTTGTCCACTTGTAGTAGTTTCACACTGAAATGACCTAATGCTGAGTTTTACCTAACCATATATACATGCCTGAAATTTTGATTTTCTTGACCTATTTTGTCAATTCTTTAGTTAAAAGATCAAAATTTGTACCCTACAAAAGTGAATTAGTTGATGACTTTTTCCCATTTGCATCAAATCAAATACAGTCCTTTTATAAATTTCACAACCTTAATACATCTATTGTGGTATACCTATATGAGAACATATTTCCTGATATTTAAATAGAGTTCATTTCAACTTTAATTAAAAGACATTACATGATTTTAATGAAGGAACGAAAATGTTTCTCTTCGTACTCTTGTGAAAGATATTGGTGGACTCCGTCATCAGGTAGCTAATCAAAATTAAAAAGAATTGTGATACAAGGATAGTGGGACCGAGACAACCGATTCACGATTGTCATCGAAAACAAAATATGTATCATTGTTTTTGTAATTGAATTCGGGATGATTTTAATTTGCAGGTCACAGGATTGGGAACGCTTATAATGATGCCTTTGGTAGGGAATCTCTCGGACATTTACGGGAGGAAAACCATGCTCATAATCCCCATGATCCTCACCATCATTCCTTTAGGTACATGTCCTTTTGATTCTTAATTAATCAATGACTTGGCCAAAAATGCATGATTAATTTGATTTTCAAAACCTTTTCTTTCCTTTTCCATTAAAGTTTATGCTAAAATTCTAATTTGGGTAAATTAGTAAGACTACTCAAATAGTAATGCAATATCTTAAAACATCTTCAATGCTAAAACCTATTTTCGCATGTCCAATCTATATTTTGACAGATGCTACAGTGTCAAAATATTAAATTTTAGCAATTCTGCTACAATAGTACATTTCACGCAAAATGCTATTTTTTAACACAACCACTATTCTTTTTCAACTACCATTCCCACCATTCATATTTGCATCAGTAATATTAATATTAGGCACATTCCAAATCAAATTGTAGACATTAAAAGGAAACTAAAATTAAACCTAATTAAAAAGAAATATAAATCTAAAATATCTGGTCAAAAAAGGACAAAAAAAACAAATTTTTTATAATTTTTTTACCACTATTTGTGAATTAATTTTTTTATATAATTTTTTTTTCCCGAAATTTATATATATTATATATTATGATATACATATAGAGATGCGAGTGGGTAATGACTGTTGAAAAAAGGCACCGTTTTGAGAAATGAGAGACTTGCAAAAAAAATCTGGTAGCTGTCATATATGAGAAGAAATTTGAGAATCTCAAATTTTGAGAGCTCAAATAAGAGCCTATTGAAGAGGTTATTTTTTACCCAACTCTCATATTTTAAGTTTGGGAGGCCCAAATGAAAGAGTATTGGAGTTGCTCTTATGAATTAAAAAAAATATATATATCAAGTGCGCCTATTAGAGCTCGTGCGTGCAATTCCTTGGTGGATCTAGAGTCGTGGTCACTAAGGATGCTGGGGACAGGTGTAGAAGTTGGAGTCCACTGCTCTCCCTCATGGTTGGTACAATGGACGACATAAAATAAACTAGTTGACAACTTGACATTCATGTTTATTCTGTATTTGAAACCTATGTTGTCGACAATGCTAATAATATTATCATTAGCTCTTGTATAATCTCTCCTCCTAAAATTATATTTGAAACGGTAAAATATAAATATAATATTTAGTTAGTAGAAAGAAATAATTAAAAAAAAATGAAAAAATATTGTTAATCACGCTCGATTGACTAATAATATATATATAATATCATGTTTAGAAGAAAAAAAAAACCAATAATCATAAAAATTATTATTTTATTATATTTTTTAATATGCATAGTATAGTGAAGTTAAAAATAAAAAATAAAAAATATTATTACTACTAGTTTTATTATTATTATTAAATCAAAGGTAGATATTTTAGCAGGGGCAATTTCCTCGTCATTTCATAGATGATTACAATCAATAGAAGTTTCGTGAAAAACTGAATCAGATGTAGCCAAAGGCAATGATGGTCCCGCATCTCCTAAGTCTGTGCAACCCCAATGGAATGGGCCCACTTGAGGGCTTGCCTTGCAACCATAGCCTCACCCGCTAAAGTATTTCTTTTTCTGAGTTCTCTCTATCTAACATTCAACGGACATAACGAATAAAGGGAAAGCCCAATGAAAAAACCCAATCATTTACTATTCATTTCAGATTTTTTGAATAATTAATTACGCGTATTAATTGGTCCACATACTTTTCTGTGTTTAGAGTCTATTTATACTTTAATCCTTTGAACAGAATTTGAGATCCGGTATCTTACTTGACGAAAAATTAAGCCATAGCGTAAATCTCTCTCCAACCTCACGTTAAACTTTTTCTTAGTTTTGATGTAACTTGGACGGTCGAGCCATACAATATAGATTGGGATTGAGTTGGATTTAATTGTCCACCAACTCTGCTTACTAAAGTTTGAAAATAACATTACTTAACATAATCATAAGCTAGATTTAGCTCAGCCATCTCGTCTTGAAGTTTTTTCTCAATTTCATTGGGAAGCTATTCATGTAGTGGTTGAAATATGTTTGTTTGTTTCTAAGAAAACTTTCCGGAGAAAAAAAAAAAAAAAAAGTTTGAAAATTATCTATCTATGCATACTAGCTCAACTAAAGAGTTGTTGGAAGACTGATTAAATTCACGTTGATCCGTTCAATTTGCACAAATAAACTCTTTTTTTTTAATTTGAATCTACATTTTCACGCACTACAGTCTCAGTTTGACTTTGCTAAATAAATTGATTTTTGATTCAATTAAGTCAAAATGCAATTTAAATGAGAATTGAACATTTGGTTGCAGTGATATTGGCTTACAGCAGAACAAAGAATTTCTTCTACGCTTACTACGTTCTCAAAACTCTCACCGCCATGATTTGTGAAGGAAGCGTCCACTGCCTTTCCCTCGCTTATGTGGTGAATTCTCTCTCTTTCTTTCAAAATTTCTACATTATTTCATTTCATCACATTTACTTGCGCGTCAAATTGTAGTCGAATTGTAATTCAAGGTAAAAGTTTCTGATTTTGAAACCATCAAGCTTATTTTATGTGGGTTATTAATTGGGCTTTGACATGGGCTTAATGGTCCCCTTATAAAATATAAAAAAGCATTGGGCTTAATGGTCACCCTTATAAAATATTAAAAAGCAAATGGGCTGTCCAGTCCAAAGCCAAGTGGTTTCTATTACAAAATCATGTATAAACTTAACGTCGTTATAACGTTTCTCTGTTACTCAGGCGGACAACGTACCGGAAAACAGACGGGCATCGGCGTTCGGAATCCTATCGGGTATCGGGTCATGTGCGTTCGTCTGCGGAAACCTATCCACTCGCTTCCTCTCCACTTCTTCCACATTTCAAGTACTCTCTCTTTCTCTCTCTATATATATGTATGTATATATATGTGTATAAATCAATCAGTTAACAGCAGTCGTTCCTTTTGATGACATTTAGGTTGCTGCATCAGTAGCGGTTATAGCTGCGGTGTACATGAAAATTCTCCTCCCGGAGTCACTCATAGACGACGCCGTTTCGACTGGAAAAATTCCAAAGGAAGAAATGAGTGTCAGTCTTTTGGATAAAAAGTCCCCAAACAAGTTTCAGATATTCAAGACATTGCCTTCTCTTAGTGATGCCATCTCCTTGTTAAGGAGTAGGTCAGTCTCTCTCTCTTGTTAAAATTATCTTTTTAGGGTTTTCTTTAGCACATGAAAGCATTTTTCTTTTTAATCAATTCATTCTTTCCCATGAACCAAACAAAGAATTGGTGGTATAGGAATTAAAGAAAGTCAACAATTGATTCTCATTTGGGGTAGATTAATCAAAAGCTTCAGTATTTTGTGGTCCAATTGATTTCAAGAGTGTGCTGTAGTTTTTTTTAGGTGTCATTTGAAATTAAGGTTTAATAGTGTTTGTTTATTCTGCTAATTTAATCCTATTTTGGGTCTCAATGTTACCTAAGGGTTAGGGAAAATGTTTAAAGTTTCAATGGATTTTTATAACCGACTGATGTGGCAATCGTTGAACTTGAGAGACTCTATCTTATTGATTCTTGTGTCAAGAGTCCATGTTGGAGTCCCCCAATAACTGATTCAGGCATCCTAGCATTACTAGCTAGGTTATACATTCGGTTAATGACAATCCCTTTACTACTGATTTTTGTTTTTGCTGAGGTTTGAGGTGCTTTCTTAGATGATGATATAAAATCGTTTTGCAGCCTGACATTTTCTCAAGCGGCCATTGTTGCATTCTTTCTCACTGTTGCTGACGTCGGCCTTTACGGCTCATTAATGGTACCATTCTTTTCCATTGTGCTTGGGGCACATCAAGTTGTCCCTGTAATTTTACAATGAATACGTGGTTGCCTAAAACTGTATTCTTTTGCGGTAATAGGGGAAGTAAACAAGCTGACATTTACTATCTTGTTTGTGTTTGAATGCACTAGAATTGGAACTTTCAAGAGAGTGTGTGTTTGTGTGTGTTTGGACATTGATGTTGCTGTTTTATTGACCCAATTTGCAAATGATCCATTTAAATCAAGTTTAGATATGTCTCCTCTAGCTAAACAAGCTTGTCTCAGTTCGTAGGTTCTATTTGAAACTGTTTTGGTAAATTGTCATACGTTTTAGGTCACTGTTGCATTGCAAATGATTCTATTTAGAGAATTATTGTTTATGGCAGCTGATTAGACCTAACTTAGACCATACGGCCATGCTTATCATAGTACCATTGAACTTTTCTTGCTTGAAGAAATATCTCATTTTAATGTGTTCAAACTTCAAAATGATATGACAATAGTGAACCTCCAAATTGTTGTATTGGATATCAGCAAGAATGGTAGCAGGGCTGTTAAGTGTATCAATGCCCCCAATATTCTCTTTAAATATAATTGGATTTAGATAGGAGATTACCGCAAGCTATTAACTTGAATAGTGTCTCCTACACAGCCAAATGGACCAACGGCCTGTGGCCTAGCGGTATCAGACCCCTACTTTCCAAAGGGAGATAAGGGGTTCGAACCTCGATGGAGGCATGTGTGTGTGAGTACCAACTAGGAAAAAAAATACACAGCTAAATGGGGTATTTGCAGGTTCAAGTCCTCCTTGGGACTCCACTCTCCAGTGAGTAGTGTAGTACCTATGCAAAGAAAAAGAAAAGGTTTGGATTTGAGCTTGCGAACTATGTGCTACACATGTCACTGGTGGATATTCTACAGGAGTATTCATTTCATTATATTTCTTTTTCCTGTAAGTTACTTCGTATTCCATCCCCAAACCGCTCAATTAATACTTCGTTTATTGACCTTATATAGTCGATTTTAGGGTGGGTTGACTTTTATGACTCCAGTTTGGGTACTGGATACATGAAATGCCATGTTTTATTGTATGTTAAGCCTCAAGATGCCCATGATGTTGATGAGAACTTTAAAATGTGATTGAGCCCTAAGATCTATACTATATACAAACACACAAAAAGGATGTACTATAGATATATATACACAACTATATATTTGTATATATAACTTCAAAATGTGATTGGCAGAACAATAAGATACCCTAAGATATATACTATATATACACACACAAAAAAGATGTTCTATAGATATATATACACAACTAGATATTTGTATATATAACTTCAAAATATGATTGACAGATACACCTTAAGGCTGATGAAGAACAGTATGGTGTATAGTTTTTCTATAGTGGGATTATCTTGGCTGCTGTAATTTAATGATCTTAATAGCAGCTGCGTTTTATATATTTACTGTCATAACAAATATCTTAATGGACAAATTGTCTCCCTGTTTTCTAATGTGTAAGGTTTCAACTTTCAAACATGTAGCCTTCCTTAAATAAATGTCTTTCTTGACAAACTTATTGCGTTTCTGGTCCAGGGTGTAAGGTTGCTGATTACTTTTAGAGGTAGTTTTTTTGACAGTTGATGCTGCCCAGATGACTTCCAGGCATAGAAATTAAAGAATTTGGAGTTTAGTGGTCTGACCTGCAAATTCTTAATAATGAACACAGATTTGGAGACTGATTGCGAATTTTATAGACCAAAAGTTAAAGAAGAAGTTTGTTTTTCTACATTTTGATTTTTTCAGTTGCTTGCATAGGTTAGATGAATTATGAAGACATAAAAAATTAGAATCTGCACGTATTGTTATAACATTAAAAGTTTACAAATAAAAAGACTCTCAAAACACTTTCTATTGACCAGTTGAACTCCAATAACTCCTGTGCAGTACTATTTGAAGGCTCGTTTTCACTTTAACAAAGATCAGTTTGCTGATTTAATGGTGATTCATGGGGTTGCAGGGACTATATCACAGGTATGTGTTGCACTTCTTTGACTAGGTTGTCTTTTATATTCAACCACGTGCTCATTTTAGAGATGGATTTTTCGTATAATTTTGAACTCCTTTTACGTACACCTGAAAGTTGAAGCATTCATGCAGCTGCTTCTCATGCCCATGTTGACTCCAATAGTTGGAGAGGAGAAACTGCTTTCTACAGGTCTCCTTTTTTGCTGTGCACATGTAGGCGCCTTGCTAACTCCGTACTCATTTGGTTACATCACGGTGACATTACCCTAATGTTTTTTAATTTACTGATATATGCCCTTGAATGCAGATGTTTCTTTACAGCATTGCGTGGTCCTCCTGGGTACTTCACTTCCTCAAGGCTTAATTTGCAATTACAAGTTCTTTCCCATCCTTCACCACCCATTTCTCTCTTATCCTAAAAATATCATTTTCCTTATTCCGCAATATAGTACGACTTTATCTCTAAGTTTTGCTAACAATTTGAACACTAGTAGGTTCCTTATGTTGCTGCTATGTCCTCTATCCTGATTGTTTTCGCATCACCATGTGTGAGTTGTATATCCGATCATAAAGTTTTTTCATCATTTGTTTAAGCATTTCATTTACTGAACTGAGCTTCTAATATGCGCAGCTGCGTAGCATTGTATCCAAGCAAGTTGGGCCCAACGAGCAGGTAGTTTTCTGGAAATTGGCTATTTTGGTTGATTATTTTGACAGGATGCTGAAGTCGGGAGTATTATTGATAATTTTCTTCTTTTTTTTCTATGTTGTTTGCTGTGGTCAAAGGGAAGTGAAAGTCATAATTAATAATCATACCAGGCAATTTGTTTACAAAATCTTCCATCCTATTGCCATATTCAAAGGAAAAAAAAAAAAAAATCTTATCCCCATCATTTGCGCAGAAATCTTCAGTTGTACACTGTTTACTGCAATGATGATGTGTTCTCTCTAATTATGATTACTACTGCTTGTTTTTTTTTTTTTTCCCCGTTTCCCAGGGGAAGGCTCAAGGAGGCATTTCAGGCATATGCTCCTTTGCCAATATTGTTTCTCCCTTGGCTTTCAGCCCTCTAACAGGTGAGCGAAATTCTGTTTTAGAATTTGTTGTGCCTGAAAGTCTGACTTAAACTAATGAAGCTCTTCTTTGATTCCAGCTTTATTCCTTTCTGATAGTGCACCATTTCAATTCCCTGGTTTCAGCCTCATGTGCGCCGGATTTGTTGCGGTAAAACTTTTTACATAATAAAGTCCATTTGTGAATAGTCTCTATTAGTTAGCTCTCTCCTGCTCTCAGTCCATGTCAAGTTTGTCTCTAATTTCATGTGCTTTGAGCACCTGCTCTGTTTCGTTATTTCTAGATATATACCTAGAGCTGTCAAACAGTTGGTAACAACCGAAACAACGTAGGCCAATATGAGTGTTATAATTTGGATTATCCGTGCATATAATGTATGAGCATGTGTACTTGTGTCTTGTGTAGTATCATTTATTTACATGTGCCTCTTTGATTATGGACTTAATTTTAAGAACATTTATTTATTTTTTTTTTTTTGGTGTAGATGATAGCCTTCATCCAGAGTGTCATGATAAGGGCAGGTCCTTCCATCTCGAATTACAAAGTGAGCAACTGCAACTATGTGGAGCCTTAATTTTTCGTTGAAGGTAGTGAATGCTGAAATAGCAGCACTTGCCTCTCCGCGTTGCACCAGACAATATTGTTGGTCTTCTAGGCCTCTTGTTATGTTCATCTCAAGGAAAGCTCGAGAATTGGAGAATCGGATGGGTGAAGTCGAATTAACCTCAAACCCAGGCTACTCTGTAACTTATTCTAGAAATACTTTAATGCAGTTGGTCCATGGAATCTGTATAACATTTTTGAGGGGGGATTCTATCTCCACCTTTCTGTGTCCAGAATTTCATATGGTCCATTTTTGGACCTTTATATAAAAAGAATGGCAGTTATTTTAGCTGATACAAGTTCAATGATGATGATGGTTTCGGGCTAGCTTGCAGGCTTGCAGCAGATTTATGTTAGTAATTAAAGAATAATGAACTAATTGCCTGCATCAGATCTTATTTGGGGAAAATACGAGGCATAACTTGCACTGTTGAGAGGGGAAGGAAGTGGGGATTGAAAGGAAAAGAAGATGCAGAGCATATATGTGTGTATATTATATATCTTCATTGCAGATGTGGATGGAAAAGGAGAAGGATTTACAGTAAAAGTGAGGTGCTTAATTCCCTTGTTTGAGTGGAAATGGATTATCTAACTACATTCATGTAGAAAACTCTAAGGTTGTGTTTGGAAATAATAAGAGAGTATTAGTATTAACACTCTGGTTAATGGAGTGAAAAGAAGGGAAAAATTAATTATAAAGAAATGAATGTTTTATTTTGTTAGTGATAAGGGCAAAACAGGAATTCACTTGGGTAATTGGTAATTCTCTTATCCCTTTTTCTTATCCTTTCCTCCATTTCTATCCACTTTTGAAAGGATAAGAATATCTTCGCAAGAGGCTAGGGAGCCTTCTCCCCCAAATTTTCTTTTTCACCACTTTTTCCCATCAAACACTCTTTTCCCATTTCCATTAAAACGAACAAGCCCTAGATTTTCTCTCTTTATTTAATTTAATCATGATTCAAATTTGTATGTTGATTATGTAACCCAAAATAATAAAATTTGTAAAAGCAATCAAATATTACCATTATGCCTAATTATTACAACAGAATCAAACACATGTGCATGCTAAATTAAGTTTCGACACAAATCTACGATGTTTAAATGAAGAAAATGTGATGCACAAATGACATCCACACAGATTCACCTCATACATTGACATATTAAATAATAAACTCCTGCTACAAACCCAAAAATACAGAATACAAGAAAATTAAAATGGTCCTCGCAAATTTCTTCATAAATTTTATAACTTAGTTAACGGTCAGTTTACCAACCATGCCAGCTCCCTGGTGAGGTGAGCAGTAGAAAGTGTAAGAACCTTTCTCGGTCAAGGTCACACTGTAGGTCTCGCCGGGGGCATTGAGGAGGTCCTCTTCACTCATGGAGATTTTCCCGGCGTCGACACCGGCCGGAACCTCGTCCTCGTCGAATATCACATTGTGGGGGAACCCTGCATTGTTCTTGAACACGATCTTCTCCCCAGAAGCCACTGAGAAGTTGCTTGGGACAAAAGCCAACGATCCGTCGTCGCCGCCGAGCAAGATCTCTAGTGCCATGGCGTTGCTTGCTAGCATTGCGGTGGCAGCGGTGGCAACAACGGCAACACCTACTTCTTTGAGGGAAGACTTGACGGAGAGCCTTGGGAGGGCGGAGGCTGACACCTTTGTGGTGGCGGAGACTCTTGATGGGGCGGCCAGGGAGGCTTTTAGGCCGGTGAATGATGGGATGGCAACGGCGGCAGAGGTGACACTGGCCATGGTTTAGGTTCAAGTGTATTATGTTTTTGGTGTGGATGTGAATGGAAAACAGATGAAAAAGAGAGGGTGTGTCGATTTTAACAAGTGAGGGTTGATTTTGAGGTGGTGTTTGTGTGGTTTGTGTTTGTGGAAAGGTCAGTGATCAGATAATGCAAGGCAATGAGGATGGGTTGAGAAATGGGTGATCTGCTAGGGATGATCTTATTAGCTGGGATTGGATGATATTGTCTGACGTGGCATGGAATTTTTTGTGTGAGGTGGACAACAGGGGACTTTTAAATTAGGGTAAAGTGCATTAAACCCCCCTGAACTATAGGGGTATATGCAAGAAACCCCCATGAACTATAAAAGTTGTAAAAAACCCCCCTGAACTATTGGGGTATGTGCAAGAAACCCCCCTGAACTATATATTTTTTTGCAGTTTACCCCATCCGCGCGAATTGATTGACTAAAAGAGACGATGAAGCTGAGGAATTTGTGGCTGGGATCGGAGTGGTAGATGTCGTCTGAGGAGTGTTTGGATAAGCCAAGGAATCTTTTGCTGGGATCGGTGAGTCTCCTGTCATAGCTCCATCATAGCAGTTGCACCACCCGCCAGATCTGTCGGCCATATATATATTGCACTTCTCTGCACCGTTGCGTCGGCCCATTGCCTTCACCGCCTTGCCTACCGTTCAGTTCACCTTGCTCGCCGGTCCATTCCACCGTCTATTCCAAGCTCGCCGGCCCATTCCGCCATCTCCATAGCCGAGCACACCGTCGTCCGTGTTTTGAGTACACAGTCATCCACAGTTCACCGCCGAGCCCCCTTGAGTTTGTCGCCGCCTCCACAGTTCACAGCCTAGTCAACCGAGCTCTCATCACAACCGAGTCCTCTACACACAAGCCGCTATCATCCAAAACCGAGCCATCCCATCGACCTCGGATTTCTTTGGTCTCCTCTCTCTCTCTCTCTCTCTAGCTCTCTGTTTTGGGTTGTGTTGGGTGAAAAGCATCTTTTGGTAGAAAAAAAATGTAAAAAATGTATAAGTTAAAACGACGCAGTATGTTATAAGGGTAAACTAGTCTTTCAAAATTTTCGGTACCAGAAGCTGATGTCATGGGGGTAAATTGCAACAAAATCGTAGTTCAGGGGGGTAAATTGCAACAAAATCATAGTTCAGGGGGATTTCTTACAAATGACCAATAGTTCAAGGGGGTAAATTACAACAAAATCATAGTTCAGGGGGGTTTTTTGTAGTTCAGGGGGTTTCTTGCAAATGACTAATAGTTCAAGGGGGTTTAATGCACTTTACCCTTTAAATTATACAAAGTAGTGAAAGAGGATATGCTATTAGGCTTAAATGGTTGGGGTGCTTTCCATATTCCGAAGTCCGTGTTTGAGTATTGAACCTTCCCTTTCTCTCTAATCATTAATTCATAATATTCTTGTCATAAATAATAATAATAATAATAATAAGGGTATTTTTAACCTAAGTCACACAATTCTTCTAAATGGGTGTCGCTCTCTCGTTCTGAACATGATCTCACTTTCACGTTCCACGCATGTTCTCGCTCCTATTCTCATTATTTGTGATTTAATTTTGTCGTTTTCGTGCTCCCGCTCTCAAATTTGATCTCGCTTCCGCTCCCATTTTATGTAATTTAGTTCTTGACCTTCTTCCATATATGAGACTACGGACATCATGGGACATCACGAGCCTTGTGCACAAGTCGCAATTCTCTTTTTAAAAAAAAATAAAATAAAATGACATTTGTGACAAAATTCAATATTTCCTTATTTATTGTCACAAGTCAACAAAATATAGTCTCCTTGTGATTATATTTAAAACTATTCGAAGTCGATTAAATAATAAATTCAATTATTAAAAGTGATATCAAATTTATTTGACGAAAATAAAAGATTCACCACATTGCAAATTTGCGAGTGAAGAATGGGGTTTATTATAATGATATGACATCAAAGAGCACACATACCTGTCGATTAGAGGACCATTCATAGAATTGGCATCGGACGCTTGGTGTGTGTTTATCTTCCCATAGTAGCCTCGGAAATGTGTGGTAGTGGTTGCATCCTCCACAACAGATATTTTAAGCAATCGTGAGGTGTTGGTGGCATCACCAGACTAGATTTTTCAAACCAAAACCACGATATATGCATTATACACCATGAAAGCTGTGAACATTAACGAATGAGAGAAATTTTTATTGTGCAAGTAAGTTCGAATTTAATCCACAAAAAATTATATAAATATCCTCATATTATATATAAATATATAACACGAAAAGAAGGGGGAAAAAGGAAAGAAAATAAAAAAACCCCATTGGCCCTTTAAAAAAAAAAAAAAAACCATCGGCCGTTCTCATTTCAACTTTTACTGCATTAGATCACCACATTTTGCAAACAAGCCAGGCCAAGCTGTTTATATTTTCCAAGTTCCAAGACATCTTTGAACTTTACTTAATTTTATATATGAAATAACATCAAATTCATGAAGGCCTTATAATAAGCTAACGAATAAAAAAGGTGCGAAGGAAGTGACATGTTTATAAAATAAAAATAAAAAAAATTAGAGAAATATTTTCAAGTTTTTGTATTTGAAATAACATTAAAAAGTGTGGAAGAAAAAATAAATGTATTTTTTTCCTCCCCTAAATTTTCTCGTCTTTCCCCAACATAACCCACATTTTCCCAACCTAAATCTTTTCCTGGTGAGCTTTCAAATTAAAACGTAGTTCCATTTTTCTGAGCACAGGCAAATAACAAAGTCCTATGGTTTCTCTTTCTCAAATGAGACAAATATGCATCCAATACTGTCATTGTTGCTTTTATCACTCTTGTTCAAGACAGCCTTCACCAACTCTTATTTCAGTTGCATAGCATCCCCTAGGGTCTCTCAGCCATTGGATGATCCAATAGGTGGGCCTCACCACGACGATCCAATAGGTGGGCCTCACCACGACGTCCAACGGTTGGGAACTCCGGGGGTACAGTAACCCAGGATATTCTAGAATTTTCTGAATGTCTAACGAGTGTGAGGCTGCCACATTTTTAGGCATGCCAAGAGGCAAGGTTCAAACTATATACATCAAAACCAAGTCTTAAAGCTTAGATCTCAAACTATTATAATATCCATCATATATACATCACGCAAACATCTAAGACACACAAGATGCAAGTTCGACATCTAAACATTAAAAACCAAAACACTGCTTCAAATTTTCCCAAAACTTGTGAGGCAACTATTCCAATATGAGCTGAAAAATCATCTGTTCCATATTATAAATGCCCTTCAAGCATATACAATGGCAAGAGTGCCTGGGCATGTACCAAGTACTAACCTAAAAATTTGTCATGGGTGCAGTAGAAGCTGCATTTCTATTTTCAATCTCAGAGCCACATTTACCTTATATTGTGTTCATAACCCTGACCGGTCGGAGATCAATATCATAACCTAAACCTGTCGTCTCCCACGCAGTTATATTTGATCAGTGCATGAAAAATCAGCCGAATTTGCTAGACACCATAATGCGTGCTAGCTCACATATAGGGTGCAAACTGTTTGCATGCCAACAGGCTACAAACAGAAAAGAGATGAAGGGGGGCCTGTAAGATTGATTGTTATAATAAGAATCGCCAGTTCAAGTAACTAGGTTATAAAATCTACACCAGCACATTGCACGGCACCTTCCAAGCATTGTAGCTAGCCTAAGGCAGATCTTGGAAGAAAATGGTCATCGACTCCTACCAATATTTAGTGGGATACAGTGGTGGTTGAGTCCCTCCACAAATCCATGGGCATTAGTCCCACCTCAACGGCCTCGTTCTATCAAAACTCAAAAATAAAAACGGCCAAACAAAACTCTCAACTGCAAGGCTATCAAGACAAAATCTAATCTATGCCATGAAAAACAACTAACCATCAATTGACAAACCATAAAAATTCCAAAAATTCTGACTGAAGGGCCGGTCTTTCCCTCACTTGTTATACCCCCCTCTAACAAGGCTTTATAGCACCCAGTATCATTCCTAGTCCTCTAACTCGTGTTCCGGAAAGGCATAAATTTGTCGTGTTAATGTCCACTTTTAATTTCTAATTCTTACAACAATCTTTTCAAGAAAATGCACACAATGGAAAATAGTGACTCACGTGATGAAGTTGTCAAATCCTCTTCGCATCAGCATAAAGGTCCCACTAAAAATAAGAGATCAGAAGTTCCAAATGAAGAATACGATGTTGAAACAAAAGTAGACAGATTTGAAGGATAGCACACTGCTGTAGGTAATCTAGGTTCCACAAACCAAACTATATGAAATTCAAGTTTCTGAATAGTGTCCTAGCTTCACATCCTAGGTAATCTAGATTCCACAAACAAATTGAAATTATACAGAAATCAAATTCCTAGGAGACAAACAAACCATTGTGGCAGTCAGGCAAGCATTTGGGCATAAATTTCATATAGATACATACAAGTGATAACAGAACTCAGAAGATGCATAACAATAAGATCAAAGATATGTAATCTATACACCCCTTTCCAATTTTTCCAACTTTTTCTTCTATCCCAAAGGGAAAATAATCTTCACAGAGCCGATGCAAACAAACATACATATCTTCAATTAATATAAAACTAGAATCAAAACCAAAGAATCGACCTAATCCAACTTCCAATAGCCAAATTTTACACTCAAATCTTCCCAGAAAACAGATTTATTGTAATCTGAATTGCATTTAAAACATTCCCCCTCTATCTTTACATGAGGGAGAGAGAGGGGTGCGAAGGGGTTGATGTTCAAAATTTAATCTGCCTTTATGATCCCCAATATCTCAATCAGAAAAATTGACTGTTTGCCTTCAAATTAGCATTCTACATTCCTCTGCAACATATTTCAGTAATATGTAACTACGCACGTCTATGAGTTGGTTAAAACAAAGAGTTTTGGAATTCTTCGAAATATGTCAACATGCATAACCTGTATAGTTTTTTGATAAGTAACATGCATAACCTATATAGTGCCACTAAAACTTCGTCTTCAAACAAAGTTTGACATCTATTTAACCATATATTCTTAAAAGGGCTGGCCATAAGGCTCCTGCTATTGCGCTAGATGCATGCAACCTTACCTCCACATGCGAAAAGGCTGTTTCTGGTTTCGAACCCCGTGACCTCCAGGTCTCAAATGGAACAACCTTACCGTTGAGCCAAGGCCTGCCCTCCAAACCCTATATTACTAATACTTATGAATTAACTGATGAATGCTTTCAACATGGGAAGATTCCCCATTAAAACAGAAAAAAGGTTAATCAGTGTAGCTCGGACCTGGGTGACTATTTGCTCTAACAATCACCATCTGCCTCTCGCCAAGTGCACACATAAGTATGGGAACACGTAAAATGTTGCCAAGATAAAATAAAATGTAGTAGTAACATCATTAGGTTTTTTTTTTGGATAACATCATTAAGCATATATTAAACTTGAAGGATAACATAATCGTCTTTAGATAAAAGGGACACACCTCTTTAAACATGTGTGACTATAACTTTTAAGACAGTATGCTTGAGTAGTTGTACATAATTTTTTTTAGTGTGAAATCAAGAACAATTTTTCCTTACATTAGTAAATTGCATTCATTTACCCAAAAAAAAAACTAGTAAAGTGCATTTTATAAACTCTTGGTTTGATTATACACTACTCCATATTCTTATTTCCTTTCTTTTCTCTCTACCAGCCTTGAACCCTTGACCTCGACGTTGGGAGTTTAGTGCACCAGTATACACTAGTCCATATTCTAGTTTGGCATGTGAGGTAACAGCACCAAATGCAACACAAAATCAGAAAATCTAAACTTTAATAAAAGCTTTAAACTCGTAATCCACACCATTCCATGTTTCAAGCAAAGAATGAACAGCATACAGTTTAGAAAGGTACAACTATTTTAATGATTTGAATCCGCCAAAAAGCATAAATCAAGTAGTGGTGCTAATATTATTGGTAACATTGTTACAAAAGAGACAAGAAGCAGATCTAATTCACCAACAGCATATCATGTGATAACCTAGAAAAAAACTAAATGTCGCTCTGTTACACACTGTTCCATCAAGAACATTATGCCAAATCCTAGATACCGATCACACATTGATTATATATGTTCAAGTACACTAATGAAACAATAGCGATGCAAACAAACATTATGCCAAATCCTAGATACCGATCACACATTGATTATATATGTTTAAGTATACACCAATGAGTAATGAAACAATCGCAATGCATACGAACATTATGCCAAATCTTAGATATTTATCACACATTGATTATATATGCTTAAGTATACACTAATGCAACAATAGTGATGCATAAGCCAAATCCTAGATATTGATCACACATTGATTATATATTTTTAAGTATACACTAATGAAATAATAGCAATACATACCAATACTAAAAAGAACCCAATATTATTTCGATCACCTTAAACATCCCTTGAAAAAAGCATTATAAATATATTTACAAATGCTCTATAGAAACCAAATCAGTTTGTAAGTATAGGAAATGGAATGTACAGTGTAGCCAGCTACCATTTCACCTCATATGAGTGGAAAGACATCATTTTCATCATCATTCAGATCAAGATACTTGAAGCTAATATCTCCTTGTGCATCTCTATAGTTAAAGCTCGGGCTCACATAACATTTCATCTCATGAAACAGGTTCAGATTGTCCACCAGCTTATGAAACACATGACACCCACAACACTACGAAAACATCAAAAAACCAATTAGCATATCAATACAAAATACATACATATATACACACAAACACACGCACATATATTTATATGAATTCGTACCTGAACGAAGACGGTACCGTCTGTGTAGGCATGGGGGTTAATGGCACGAGTGGTCCTTTGACCGCATACGTTGCAGGTGAAGGCTACTCGCATACGTCGACGTGGTGATTTGGTGAAGAGCGACCATGGGAAGGTGGAGATCCTCTCCGTACCGGACTCGGCACAGGCGGGCACCGGAGGTCCTTCCATGCCGGAACCGGTCGTCCAACCTCTAACAGAGGCCGCACTCAGAACCAAACCCATCGCTGCATCCTAAGAAAAACCCCAAAACAAAACCGTAAATTATCAAATTTTTAAAAGATCAAGAAACAAAAACCATACATAATTGATATATATATATATATATATATATTGTAACCTTAGAGAAGGTGCGATTGCTGAGAATCGGAACAAGACTTGAATCGTTGGAATCAGACCGCAGATCGGATTGGTTACCATCATCTGCAATCAAATAATAGTCACTTTGAAGTTAGAAAATAACCAGAGAAAAAAATAGGGAGAGTTTTGGTGATAGAGTGTGAAGATCGTACTTTTAGGAGAGGTGGAGAATCGGAGGAGTCTTTTTGACGAGTCCTTTGATTTGGGTGAGAAAATCGGAAGAGAGGAAGGAGAAGAAGAGACGATTGTTGCAGAGGAGGTTAGGGTTTCCATGGTGAATGAGTTCGATTTTCGCGGTGTGTGTTCGTTCGGAAGAGAGTTTGCTTCTGATTCTTTGCTTTCGATCTTTGGCAAATTGGGGAGCTGACCACATAAACATATGACTATATTGGATTGGAAAATGCTGATTTTATTTATTTATTGAATTGGAAAATGGTGATTTTGGATTCTCTGCAACGAGATGGATCCGGTGAGATCGATGTCAACTTGATCAAAATAAAATAAAATAAAAAATATTATTTAGATTTTTTTTTTTTTGAAAGAAAATCACTTTGGATAGTGACTGGGATGATTATCTAATCTCACTCCTAAATGATGCATTTAGGTTTCAATCTTAATTTAGAACAAAATTTCATTTTCAAAGATGCATGTAGGGTTGCACAAAAATCGGTTCAACCCGTAAAGTGATTTTTTTCATATTCGGTTCAGTTACGGTTTTAAAATTATAGAATCGTTTATAAACGGTTTGATTATAATTTGTAGTTCTACAAAGACCGAACCAAACTGATTTATTAATTATATACTATGTATTTATATATTTTGTATTATATAAATAATAAAATAATAAAATTATCCATTTAACCACTCAACTATATATCATACTATATAATAAAAATTTATATTATATAAGGTACGAGTATAAAATTTTAATTTTATATATATATATATATATCTAGTATAAAATTTTAATTATATATATATATATATATATATATATATATATTATATTTAATTATAAAAAAGCCTAAAATCATGAAAAAGAACCGAACCCAACTAAGCCGTTTTGTCATGGTTTGATTTGGTTTGGTTCGGTTCCATTAGTGTCACAATTCGGTTCGGCTCTAATTTCTATGGAACCGTTAGGAATGATTTGATTTCAAAATATTCCCTAAGCTGAACCATGTGCATCCATATGCACACCAATTCCAAAGTGCATTCCAATTCGAAATTCGATTTGCACAAATTGGTTTAATTTTAAAGGAAATTTAGTTTAAAGCTACATTTGTTTTAACTTAAAATATATATTTTGTTAGGTAAAATATTTTTTATTTTTTCGGTGTTTGATATAAGTTAGGTCGAGATTAACCACAAGTTCATCGGATGGAACTTGTAAAATAAGTTATTTTTTTTATATTTTATAAATAAATAAAAAATTTGTAAGTATTTTAAGACAACCAAACACAAGAAAATAAAAAATATATATTATTTGAAAAATATTTTACATGCAATCAAACAGAACCTAATTATAAATTAAATTTCAACAGACTAGGGGTATTATCTATGTCTTCCGAGTCGATGGTGAGAGTTCCCGTCCTCAAAGAACAAAGTAGGTGGGTGAATGATGTGTGTTTATTACCCAAAAAAAAAAAAAAAATTGAACTATTCCGTATATATAAATACACGCTAAACTTTATACGATTGGTCCGCTACATTTACCTAGAATAGGATTACTCACACCAAATTGCGACATATACAGAGTTTTTATTTATTATTATTATTTTAAGGGCAAAGGCCGCAAAACAAATGATATTTGAAAGTGCATAACTCAAGGGCCCAATGGAGAATTTGGACCAAAACAAAAGCATCATGCTGTCAAGCCCCCAGCTACATCATAACCCAAGGGACAAGAGGCCCACCCCGAAGTGGAAGCTTGGTGATGGCTTCCAATGCATACTTAGAATCAACTAATCTACCACTGTTACAAGGGAATATTTGTTTCTCACTATATTCGGATGGAAGAGTAATTAAGTATAAATAAGTGGGTATGCAGTATTACCCAACAACTTAAATTTTTGGATAAATAGATATTTAATAATAATAAATAAATAACTTGATTTCTTATGTGATGGCATTTATTAGATTCTAGGAACCACGGACACTTCTACTAATGAATCATACCCGTATAATTTCTAACACAAATCTACCCAGTGATCTTGAAAATAATATAAATACTATTATGACAAAGTAGTGAAATAATGGTATATATGATATAAAAATCATTACAATAATGACATAATTTCATTTTTTAATTCATTTCATAGCAACTCTTAGTATATAAATTATACATGAATTAAAGTTTTATAATATTATTAGTGAATAAATGTATAAAAATAAAAATTTATATTTATATGTAGCCGTGTTGACGCTGTACCCGTCTTTTATTTTTTTAAAATTTGACGTGTCGATATATCTGTGTCGTATCATGTCCGTGCTACATAGATTAGATTCCCTCTCATTTAATACTTTTGCCATCCTTTTCTTATTTCATTCAATTTTTAATTTTTTAGATTGAAACACGATTCAAGTACGTTCAAAATTTGTATCGCACACTATAACAGGATTCATTACAACATTGCATCCAGATTTTAGATTATAAACCCATTCATTAAGAAAAGGTGGAATGATAAGATGAAGATTGTATCAAATTAACATGGTACCCTAGCATTGAATTTCTTTTTATCCCATGAGAATGAAGCGCGTACATTCTTATTCTGATAATGTATGTTGCATTTTGAATGTGTGTTTGGCTCCTAAAAAGAAAAAAATAATATGATATGAGACCATCACAATGAACGTGGGAGACATAAGCTTTATCGAATGTGTCATGACTTATATGCAATTTTATCAATCATAAGCACATTATCTCCCCACGACCGAAACTTTCGATTACTCGAATCAAATGCTCAAATATGGGTGCAAAAAACAAACGACTTAATAGCAAAAATGAACATCGCAACCATCCAAATTTAATTTCAAATGTATAACTAGTTAAAACTTCTTAAGTCCCATAATCATTCTTAATAAGTGTCGTTCTCACGTTCTGAGCGCGTTCCCGATCTCGCACTCCACGCGCACTCTCTCTCAAATTCTCCCTACTTATAACTTAATTTTGTCATTTTCACGCTCACACTCTCGCTCACAAATTCACTTTCGCTCCTGCTCCCATTTTATGTGACTTAGGTTGAAACATGTGAATTGGTGTGAAATTTCAAATTTACGTGAATTGAATAAAATGTGTTGCTAGAATATGTGGACCCAAGAAAATTGGGAGTTGTAAATTAAGCAAAATGGTGGTGGAGTATTAAATAAGAGATGGAAGAGAATGGCAGGGGAGTATTGAATGGGAGGGAATCTCTGTCTCACTGCAAAAGTGAAGAAAGGACGCAGGCAGGCACCCCCTTGACCCTTGTTATCTCTTCTCTTCCCTTCATAAAAAATGTCTGCAGATTCTCTCTTCTTCTTTTTTTACCCACCAATCTAATTACTCTTCTCTTTAATGTTTGCCCAACGGTTCCATTTCTCACATTTACTCCTTACCTAACCTGTCTACATATTCCAACTTCTCTGTGTGTGTGTGTATATATACACTCCGTATAAGTTAATCTTTTGATACATGCAATTTGTCTGTGACATGATATACTACTAAATTCATGCAAAAAATAGACTTCACTAAGTAAAAAGTGAGATTAGAATAAAGATATTCCTTTTATATATGTTGATAATAATGGTGGTGATCTATTCAACATGACAGTGCAAAAAAATCAATATGACAATTTTTTATTATAAATTACTCATCAAACTTGGTAAAAGATGAATAATAATTTGTGGTAGGCTGGTTAATTTGCTCATTGTAAAACTCTAACAGACTATGTGCATGTACAACTTACCTAAGAAACATTTGTTACATGTTGTTCGAGTAGTTGGACTGCTCCTAGCTCGTATTTGAAAGTTTGTATTCGAGTCTTATATTCTCCTCCTCCTATGTGCATTTACAACTTCCTTATGAAAAATTTGTTACGTGTTGTCCGAATAGTTGAGTTGCTCCCGTATCTGAAAGTTTGTATTCGAATCCTAAGAAACATTTGTTACTTATTGTCTGAATGGTTGGGTTGCTTCCTGTAATTGAAAGTTTGTATTCGAATCTTATACTCTCCTATCCTCTCCCACTAACCCCTTGTATTCTTGCCCTTGGAAAAAAATAAAATAAAAATAAAAATTTGTTTCTTCCCGTGTCTGCTGGGAGCTTGGGAGCTTGTATTCGATCCATAAACCCTCTCCCTCCACACTAACCCCTTACATTCTTGCCCTTGAAGAAAAAAAAAAGTGTTCCTGGTACTTTTGTTTTGCTTCGATCTTTTACTTTTTGATGGACACTAGTAGCCATAAGTGATAGTAAACATAATCTCGCCCACATTTTCTGGGCATCTACTAAATTAATTCAAGAAATTCAAGCTTTAATATGCAGAGACACTAATCTAGCTTCAAGAAGGTCCTATGATCGATCATAAGATGCTAGAAAGCCACCCAAAAAATGATACTAACACCTAAAAACTGAAATACTCCATGTTTTACTAGACCAAGGAATCTAATTGAAATTTTCTAAGGTCTTTATAAGTTCCTTTCCATAATATAAACTATCACATAAAAATAATAATAATAATAATAATAATAAAAGAAAAAGAAAAATTTGATATGGGATTGTCTTTATAGTTATAATTTCCCGAGTGCGCTGTGTAGCCCAGTTGGTGGGCATGCTTGGCTTTGTGGTTTGGGAGCCTTTGTTTGAGTCACCCATTCCCCCTCTAATAAAAAGAAATATCATAGTAATAGCCATAGAGGAAAATAGAATCACAAATATCTAATAGTACAAAAAATAAAATAAAACTCCAAGGTAATAACTTAACAACAAAGACCCTCAGCTGTTCAAGGTTCGGAAGGTAAAATTTTCTTAGTAATTGGTTGGTATATGGGGGACATACAGACTACATGACACGTGTTCGATGGTGAATTGTGTACCACCATTGTTCTAATGGGCCTGGCAAGCGGCAACCCCATCGTCAACAAAATAAAAATAAATAAGGAGTAATTTTAAGTCCGGTTACATGAAAATATGGACTCACAAAACCCTACGTCCTTGATCTCAAGAATACAACAACACCCATAAAATTTTCATACTCGATGCGACGCGAAAAAAAAAAAAAAGGTAATTTCATGCTATGATGTTGGTTTAGAAGTCGACGACCTTGCCAAGGATGGGCTTCTTGTTGCAATGACTTGCAGTGCCAAAAATGAAAAGGCACTAGGATATTGGCGCGGCTCAATCAGAAATGGAAAACCATAGCATTTTTAAGCTCTCTTTTTGCCTAAAAAATGCATGAATTTTTGTTATCTGAGTG